AATGATTGATCTTCCTAAAAATATTTTGAATATTCACAATTATAAAAAAGATAAATCAAAGTCTCTGGGTGGTGTAAACAGAATGAACAGTTTCCATCCGTCTGCATAAATTTAGTTTAGTGAGGGCGGGAACACTATTGAGTAGGTGTGATTCGGTGTGTGACATCAAAGCACCGCTACACCTATCAGATTGCCGAATGCTCCACATTCTAAATAGAACCTCTGGCGGCGCTTTGATGTCATTCTCCACCAATCAGTTTGCACAGCGCCGCTTCAAGCAGGAACTTTTTTTATTTTATTGAACCAAGTAAACAATACAACTATAAATGGCCTGATTTTAAATCAAATCTTAATCAGACAACAGACAAGCATCATAAACAAAATATAATAACAAGATTTAAAATAAATAAATAAACATAAGTGTTTTCAACAAGTACAAGTTGTTCTATTAAATGACAGAGGACTGCAGCATTCTTTTTCTTCATTTGCTTAAGCGATAGAAAATAAAGACATATATAGTTATGTGAAAAACATAAAATTTGGGAGAAACTCTTCAGAACCTATACTTAAGTAAAAAAAAAAAACTTCCCAAGAATAATAATGGTGTTAATTACTTAATCATGTGTTTCATCTTTCAAAAACAAACCAAACAGTACATTTTCTTTTGTTAGAGCATTTCAATCTTCAAACGTAGAGAATAACCAATAATGCAAATCTTCCCAAAAGGCACAAACAAATTTACAATCATAGAAAAGATGCTCTGTAGTTTCAAAACACGATGGTTGATTGGTCTCCTGCACATGAGTTTGGATGTTGCCATGTTTGTTAATTCTTCATTACTGACTAAATAAAGTTGCACTATGATGTTTCTTATTAATATTCTGCATAAATCAATTAATTAATTAATTAATTTAAATGGCATAAAATGATCACCTAAAATTCATAAGATCATTACAAGACATTTTAAAATGATTTACGCTACTTATGTTGGACTCAATGACTGTAAAAAATATGGACGACGCGACAGCCCCTTTTCCCATTGAACGCCTTGAGGGCAAAACGCCTGCTTGACGGGCACAAACTGTCGCAAAAGACTGCTGAAATTGGAGCCAGACATGCGCAGAAGGACTGTCTGATGGAGCCAGAGGAGGAGCCGCGAAAATGAGCGGAGTCGAGCTTCCAACCAAACGCTTTATGTAAAATCAACCACGCCCCCCCGAACTTCTCAGCATGCGTTTGCTGTCATATCAACACAAATGGATGTCATAACGTTAACAAATATGAAGGTTTTATATATTCAATGGCGCCAGCTCCAGGCCGCAGCGCATAACTTACTCGCGGCGTCGCGGGCTGATTCCGGCTCGCATGCAGCAGCGCCGGCTCGCTCGGCCACCGCATCTGGCTCGATTGACTCGGACTGGAATCGGGCAGTGAGTCCAGGCATCCGGAGTAGGTCCAGCAGAGGTAGTCAGTCTGAGGGATAAGTCTCCGGCAGGCGAGAATCTAGCCGGAACTGTGTTTTGCTATCTGGGTGGCTAGGCGTGTATCAGCAAACTAATAAAGCCCGAAAAAAGCCCTGAACTTAGCGAATAAACAGTGTTCCACCAGGATCATGTATGTCAGAAACTATAGTTTACTGCTGAACTCATTTTGTCATGGTAAAATAACACTGAAATCGAATAATAACATTTCAGTCTACTTCAGTCTCCTGCCGAAGCTCAGACGCCGCGCTTTGAGAAACTGTCAATCACAGCTGTCAATCACGATGACACGCCCAGCATTAAATTACTGCTAAAAACAAACTGTTTACACAAATGAAGATCTGCACCTATTTCAGCACAATAATCAGTGCCTTAATCCACCAGAACCATCTTTCGGGACATTTTATTGCAAGTGTAATATTTTTTTTTATTTGGGCTCAAGTCTCCTTCATTAACACGGAGGAGGCGGGCTTTATGACTTGTACTGCAGCCAGCCCCCAGGGGGCGATCTAACGGCCGAGACCTTTACTCAAACGCAGGCTTGCGGCACACTTGGTTGGACTGCTGTGGGTTTATTTGTGCATTAGAACTTCCTCTAGTGGCGGAGTTTATTATATGACGCACACAGGAAGTGTTGAGAGAGGAAAAGGGCCGGTGGTTTTTTTATCTAAATTCGGTAATCCTGGCGGTTCATTCCGCTGTGGCGATCCCGGATTAATAAAGGGACTAAGCCGAAAAGGAAACGAATGAATAAATGAATTAACAAATTCAGTCTTCTGTAACTCAAGCATCAAATCAGTTGATCATCTTTTTGTCAAATGCCCACATGTTGATATGTTTTGGTCTGATTTATCTGTCTATTTTTCATCAAAATGTAAGTTTAACATTGATTTTTGCATGTGGGATTTAATTTGTAACTTTTTTTCATGACAAAAATAACATTGAATTTACAGGCTATTTATTGATTTTATTGGGTAAATATTATATTCACAAATGTACATTTTCTTCATCATTACCCAAGTTGCAGAATTTTCTTTGTGACTTAAATTGTTTAATTTCTACTTTACAAAATGTTTACAGCAAAAAAAAGTGTTAAAACTGTGAAACTTTATAAGGACTTTGTTAATATAATTTAATTTGATAATTTGCATCTGTGCTCTGTTTTTATTATCTTATTTTATTATTTTTATTTTATTATTAATTTTACTTATTTACTATTGTACTTGATGTCGTCTATTGTTATGATTAATATGTTTTTATTGTTAAAACACAATAAACAAATAGAAAAAAATAAGAAAATGGCCGGTGGTTTTACAAAATTCAAAAGAAAGTAGGAGAAATGAGAAAAAAACGGGAGAGAGAAGATAATAATATCTAGGATGAGATTTGGACACACAAAAGTAATTAGTACACTTTTTAAGCTGGGTATATATGGTACAGGATAATGTGAGTTTTGTGGACAAGAAGAGACGGTAGAACATGTTAAACTACACTGCATGAAGTCTGAAGATGAAAGGAGGAAAATTAGTAAGTATTTAGGAGAGATAACAGTTCAACTCAAATTAGATGACATTCTACTAAATAAATCAGGAAATAAATATTTTACCTTTTTATTGCAGTATCTTAAAAATATCTTAAAAATACTCATTTGTGGCAGATGCGGGTTAAGTCATGATGATCCACACTCCAGACCAGGTGGTGGCGCAAATACACCATTTTGTTGTTTGTCAACCGCCATTAAATTGAAGAAGAAGAAGCCAGTGTTGTGTGTGTTGTGTCGATGCCTCTCTCGGTCTGTGCGTGTGAGCTGTAAAATGGCAGAATTCAGTGTTTCTGTGGCTCAGGATCAGTTCAGCTGTGCGGTGTGTCTGGATCTCCTAAATGATCCGGTCTCCATTCCGTGTGGACACAGTTACTGTATGAGCTGCATCACAGACTGCTGGAATAAGAAGAGAGTCTACAGCTGCCCTCAGTGCAGACAGACCTTCAGCCCCAGACCCGCTTTAGCTAAAAACACCATGCTGGCTGAAGTGCTGGAGAAACTGCAGAAGAGCAAACTACAAGCTGCTGGTCCTGCTCAGAGTCCCGCTGCATCTGGAGATGTGGAGTGTGACGTCTGTACTGGAGCCAAAAACAGAGCCGTCAAGTCCTGTCTGGTGTGTCTGAACTCTTACTGTCACACTCATTTTCAGCTCCATCAAGAGATTCACCCAGGAAATCAACACCAACTGACTGAAGCTACTCACAGATTGAAGGAGATGATCTGTCCTCAACATGAGAAACTCCTGGAGATCTTCTGCCGCACTGATCACTGCTGTATTTGTTATCTGTGTTTGGTTGATCAACACAAACACCATGACACTGTTTCAGCTGCAGCAGAGAGGACTGAACTAGAGGTATGAACACATTCATTCATCATTTTACAGGTGTACCTAATAAAGTGGCCGGTAAGTGTTATTTTGCATCTGACATGTTTACTAATAGACTCTCCTGCAATTTGGAAAATCCTAAGCTTCCCGTTCATAATTACAGCTTTACAGTGACGTTTATTTCACTCTTGTTCACTGTGAATCCTGCAGAGTCGGCTGAGGGAAACCCAGAGCAGATTCCAGCAGAGACTCCAGGAGAGACAGAAGGAGCTGGAGGAGCTGAGAGAGGCTGTGGAGTCTCACAAGGTGAGTTTGAGCAGAAGAACAGCAGCTGAAGAGGCCTTTCACACTCCAATGCTTGTGTGTGTGTGCGTGTGTGTGTGTGTGTGTGTCTGACAGCGCTCTGCACAGGCCGCAGTGGACCACACCGAGAGGATCTTCACTCAGCTCATCTGCTGGATTGAGAGAAGCCGCTCGGAGCTCACGCAGATGATCAGAGATGGAGAAAAGACTGCAGTGAGTGGAGCTGAAGAACGACTGGAGCGACTGGAGCAGGAGATCAATGATCTGAGGAGGAGAAACGCTGAGCTGGAGCAGCTTTCACACACAGAAGATCACATCCATTTCCTCCAGGTGACACACAGGACAGTGGAAGAGCATGTGGAGCAGAGATTGTGTTTGTGTGTCTTCAGCTGCTGTTTCTGTTGTGTCTGTGTAGAGTTTGCAGTCTCTCTCTGTCCCTCCTGGATCTACAGACTCATCCAGCATCACTGTCAGCTTTCCACTCGATTTTGATGATATTGTTAAATCTGTGTCTCGTCTGAGAGACAAACTGCAGCAGTTCTGCACTGAGGAGATGAAGACCATATCTAGCAGAGGTCAGATTTATATTTCCTGACATGTTTCAGATGATTTTAAATGTATTTGTATTGTTTAACAATGTTTACTGTAAATCATCTGTTTGTCTCCACAGTGAGCAGCATTAGCAGGATTCCCGCTCCTGAACCACAGACCCGTGAGCAGTTCCTCCAGTGTAAGTGACTCTGATCATACTGAACATTAAAGATTATAGTTATATATTGTGTTGGATTCCTTCATATGAGGCAGAGAGTCTCTGATGGCTGTAATGTGTTTTATTCTGGAAACAGCAGAAACAGTGAAAACTAGAAGTAAACACACAAATCAGCACAAAGCAGATTGATAATGAACTCTTACACATTTACAGTTCTGTAGCGGATTAGCTCAAAGGGAAGAAGATTCATTTGAACAGGGCTTCAAAAGAATCGACTCTTTCAATCCGAATCAACGAATCGTTCAGCAATCATTCAAACAGAAAGTTGACTTTAATTACAGCTATTGCTATCAAAACAAAAACCCATTTATGTTTAAGCACGGTAACAAGATCAAAGTTTAAGACATTAGATTCATAAACATGCACCGGCACCTTTCTTCATACAAAATGACTCTTTATTGACTAATCTAACAGAAACTAACACAAACACACATTCATACAAGTGTAGAGAAGAGTAAAGGAAGTAGAATAAGAGTTTGAGAGAGTGTAATGATGGAAAACCTCAGATTTATGTTAGACCGAACCAATAATAAGTCTCTTTAGGGTTGTATTTAGTTTACACCAGTTCAGATGGAAGTGTTAAGCCTGATTTATACTTCTGTGTCAGGTGACCGGCGTAACCCACGGCGCATGCAACGAGCGTGGCTGTGCATTTATACTTCTGCACGCTGTCTCTGTCGGTCTGCATTAACACTTCCGAAACGCTAGTTGGCAGTGAGGTGTAAATTTTCCTCTGTGTCGAGTTTCTTCGCTGCTTTATTGCTTTTCCTGAACACTTCCGGGATATACAAGTGGCTCAAACTCGCTCATTTTGAGGCAGGAACCGGCGGACGTGCAGCAACTTTAACTATGAGGTAAACACAAAACAAAACTTTCCATCAGGAGCTCCTTCACTGGACTCCACACTTGTAAACAATCGCTCGCAACATTCGCGCGGCTCTAGGTCCCGCCCAGACTCGTCAGCGCTTCCAAGCCGACCAATCACAGAGCTTACGCTACACGTCATTGCGACGTGTAGTTACATTTTTTGAGAGGTGCACGTCAGTGACGGCGACGGCCACGGCGAAGGGCTATGCGTCAGTGCCGTAGCATACGCCGGCGTTTGACGCAGGAGTATAAATCAGCCTTCACTTGCGTTCCCTCTGTGATGTGAAGAAACTCCCTCTTCAGCACGTGGCTAGCTGGTTGCTCTTTGTCCTCGCGAGGCTTGGAGTGGGGTTGAGGCGGTCGTTTCAAGTTTTTTTTTTTTTTTATGTTTTTTTTATACATTGTGAAACATTACAAAAATTTACAAAGACATAAACATGTAACAATAAGCAAATACACTGAAGAGTATTTTGAGCAAATAGTAATAATAAAAATAAATAAACAATAATAAATAAAAATAAGATAATAAAATAACTAGAACCTAAAGTTTATTGATAAACTTTGATGTTGGCTTGAGAAAGCCAACGTGACTGCGCTAGGACTGGGAATGGCAGTTGGCAGGAAGCACGGCGGTGGTTGCTAAGTGGTTGCTAGGCAGTTGCTAAAACAATTATGGCATTGTTAGGTGGTTGCTAAGCAGTTGCTAAATGGCAATGCTCGTGTACATGTATGATCAAATGCTAACACTTAGTGGGTATTTCTAGCATATGTTATTGCATTTAGAAAATCATTCATAGCATGTAGCTAATCGTTATTAGCACTTGGCTTCCATTATCATTGTTACCATGCATAGTACACAGGAAGTCCCATTTGCTAGCATGAGTCAAACAAGCCAATGCCCAGGTCCCTACGATGTTATGATGTAGAGATATTGCTGTTTTTAAATGGTTGCTAGGTTATAATGTTTTGTTGCTCTGGGGACATTTGACAGGTTAGTGATGATACATCAAAGCTTCTTGGCAATATGAGTGATCTTAATCAACCCCGATGTTTCTATGACAGTCTTTATGAGTGTCAAAAACTGGACTTGAACATTATGTATTCCTGGTGTTGGGTTGCGGCTGGAAGGGCATTCGCTGTGTAAAACAAATGCTGGATAAATTGGCGGTTCATTCCGTTGTGGCGACCCCTGATTATTAAAGGGACTAAGGGAATGAACATTATGTAAAAATGGCTTGCCGTATTTTTTGGAAAATACAATGCTTAATAAGTGTGAAAGTGATACATGCAAAAATGGCTTGCCATATCATTAAAAAATGTGGAGTTTAAGTCAAAAATGGTTTGCCATATCAGTAAAAAATATGGAGTTTAAGTCAAAAATGGCTTGCCATATTTTGAGAAAAATAATGCTTAAAAATTATTTATTGGAAAACTATAAGTCTGATAAACCTTAAAGATATAGCAACAAAATCTAATGCATCTAAATACAGCTTTTGGCCAAATTTGGGGCTTGTATAATTTTTTTTTTTATGCTCGGATTATAAAAATGTAATATTTAACATTTTTTATTAAAAAAACAATAAGTCTTATAGGCATGAGGAGATATAGCAACAATCTTGAATGCAGAAGGCACATTTTGACCACATTTGGGCCTTGTGGCATGAACGGCCTAGGAGGAGATACGTTTGTTTTCAAGGACAGAGTAGCATAACAGTATGTTGGCTTTCTCAAGCCAACATAAATAGATAAATAAAATAAAAAACAACAACACTAGTGCAATCTTACATACATAAAAAACAAGTCTACTATGTGTTGACCAGAAGTAGTTTCCCATAAAAGCTGGGCATTAGGGGGTGGGGACTCAATCAGAAGGAGCAGGGTCAAGCTGAAGAGTTTGGACATATTTGTAAAGGGGCTCCCATAAATTAATAAAAATAGTGCTAGTTCGGTGAAGAGAGTACCTAATTTTTTCTAATTTCATAAAATAAAGAACATTTCTTATCCAACAAGAGTGAGAAGGAGGGTGAGGGCTCTTCCAGTTCAGAAGAATTAATCGCCTAGCCTACAAAATGTTTACAAAATGAGAGGGTAAAGTGTCTCTCTCCCGGGACAGCATGCCAAACTTGCTTATAATCAATCATCAGCTAAGTGTGAACTCTTGAAACTTCTCTTTAACATCGTTTTTGAGTATGTTGTGTAACCATTCATGCATTTATTTTCCTGCCATTAATTTCTTAAGGCCACAATACCAATGTGTATTGACTAGTATATAAGGCTTATAGAAATTATAATCCGTCTGGAGCTAGCAGAACTCTGTCCAAAAATGTATAAAGTTTGTGTGTGTGTGTGTGTGTGTGTGTGTGTGTGTGTGTGTGTGTGTGTGTGTGTGTGTGTGTGTGTGTGTGTGTGTGTGTGTGTGTGTGAATAGATGTATACAAACGACGTCCTACATCTTTAAAAAAATGTATATATTTTCTTACAAAAGACAATGCTCCAACTTAATATATATAAGCTACAGAAAAATGTGAGGGGTGCAGAAAGAGAAAGGGAGAAAAACACGAGATTTCTATGGGAGATTCTAACTCGCTCCGTTGTTCTTTAATGACGCACTGTCCACTATGCTATTGCCGCGCTCTGAATAATCTGTGTCATGATACTCAGTGGTTTATGAGCTGGGCCAGACGGAATCTGCGGACATTTTTTGCTATTTCTGCTGAGAATTTTGGTTAAAATCTGCGGATTTTTGCAAAATTATTTTTGGAGTATCCAGCGGAGTATCATAACTAAAACCTTAATATATTAAATAAAAAGTAACAAATTACTGAATAAAAATGGAATAAATTCAGATTTACACATTTACTCAAGTAAATAAACAGAATTAATGATGGGCTAAAAATCTGCAGAAATCTGAGCGCGCAGATTCCGTGTGGGCCTAGTTATGACCAAGGAACTGTACTGAAGTTTATAAAACAGTTCAGTGCCAGGCATACTGTACAGATGGTCTTACACGCTATTGCCACATTGTACAGTTGCTTAAAATCCCCTGACACGAATACAAAGAGCTGCACTGAATGTTGTCTATGATAAGAGCAGACCCGCACTGTCACATTTGATTTCAAAAGGTTTGTTAAATGCATTACCCATTCTTTTGAAAAATGACCACGTTCACTCAAATATACATTTGGTTGTGAAAAGAACAATACTTATAACCCTCTCACAACAAAAGAACATGTGTCTGTGCTTCTACGTCCATCAAAATTCTCATCAAAAGAGCACGCAATACTCAGTAAACTCAGAAACAGACAAACTCTGGAACAGAGCAACTCTCTGAAGATAACCTGCTCCGGAGTAAGTCATCTTCAGAAAGTAAGTTGCTTTGTCTACTTAACATACCCCAGAAGTTACCTCTGATTTTGGAACCAAGGCTGAGGTTATCCACTTACTCTCAAGCTTACCCGGGTATGTCACATAACCTGCTTTCTGGAATTCCACCCTGGTTTTGCGGCACATTAAACTTAACTAGACTCTCAGCGGAAAAGAAATAAAGAAACGTATCAGAGATGGGAATGCCTGAGCTGTGCGATTAACCCATTTTGTTTGGGTCCCCGTCTGCTCCCTGGAGTCCTCTGGGTTCTTTCGCTAGACCTGGGCATTCTAGCTCGGGTGATCTTCTCTGGCCTCTGGTTTCCTCTGTTTCTGGTAGTTTCTCTTCTTTCTTGGAGGTTTTTCTGTTTCTGGAGGTTTCTCTTCTTTCTCTTCTTAGGTTTCTCTGTTTCCCTGGTTGGTGGCTTTAGGCCAGGGGTGTCAAACTCAATTCCTGGAGGGCCGAAGCCCAGCACAGTTTAGTTCCAACCCTGCTCCAACACACTTACCTGTAGGTTTCAAACAAGGCTGAAGGACTCAATTAGTTTGATCAGGTGTGTTTAATTAGGGTTGGAACTAAACTGTGCAGAGCTGCCGCCCTTTTGGAACTGAGTTTGACACCTGTGCTTTAGGTAATATTTGAATATCTGAATATATATTCTGTGCAAAATTCTTTATAGATATCCAGTCCTTTGTAACGGGGGTCACACAAAAAAATAATAAAATATGTACACCTACTCAAGTAACCCAAACAGTTTTATATGTCTTAACACTAAAATGAAAAAAATAATAATAATTATTACTCCGATGAGGTTCGAACTTATGTTGGCGGTGTCGTAACGCAAGTGCTGACCACTGGATCACAATTGCGCAGTTATACTAGTGTGTTTGAAAACAAATAAGTATTGCACTATAGGTCTGCATGGGACTAAATTTTGTATCCCGCTCCCGCCCGCACCTGACAGGTTTTAGTCTGAACCCAACCTACTCCTTTTACTACCTTCCACGCCCGTTCCCGCTAATGAGCAGGAGGGGAACAAAACTGAAAACCACCCAGCTATACAGAGTCCAGAGTCCCAAGTTTCCTGGTTTGGGGTTGAACATGTACTGAAACATTCATAGTTCTTGTTTCTTAATCAGCAAAAGTGCAAATAATATTAGAGTAAAGACATTCTGATGAACTGAAACAGATCAATAATAATACAGTCATGATTTCATTATTGTCACTCAGAAATTCATTGATATTTTTCCTGATTTTTATCTTCATCAGATTCTCAACAGTTCACTTTGGATCCAAACACAGTCAATAACTGGCTGGTTCTGTCTGAAGGAAACACAGCGGTGGAAAATAAAGGTTCAGTCCAGCCGTATCCTGATCATCCAGACAGATTTGATTATTGGCGTCAGGTGTTGTGTAGAGAGAGTGTGTGTGGACGCTCTTACTGGGAGCTGGAGTGGAGCGGTGCACGTGTGTTTCTCTCAGTGTCATATAAGAGCATCAAGAGAAAAGGACGGGGTAATGAGTGTCTGTTTGGACGCAATGCTCAGTCCTGGAGTTTGTCCTGCTCTGCTGAGAGTTTCTCATTCAGGCATAATAACAAAAACACTGAACTCCCTAAACCCTCCGTCAGCTGCTCTAGAATAGGAGTGTATGTGGATCACAGTGCAGGAACTCTGTCCTTCTACAGCGTCTCTGACACAACAATGAGCCTCATACACACACTCCACACCACATTCACACACACAAACACACTCTGTCCTGGATTCTATGTTTATAAAGGTTCAAAAGTGAAGCTCTGTGATCTGACAGTGTAGATGATGCAGATCCTCCGTGTACAATAATGTGGAAAATACTCCAAATATCAGTCTTGCTTTATTTGTGATGTTTATAATAAACTGACTTTAAAAATTAACACTGATTTTATTCATCATTTGTGTTCATAAGTTGTCCTGAAGTGTGATTGTAGAGATGTGTTGATGTTTTGGCTGATTGTTGTTCATATTTAAATCATCAGCACATCAGCTCCAGATTGAGAAAGGCCAATATAACAGATCAATATATACTGAAGTATGGAGTTGTGTAATGTCTGCTGCATAATCCTCTCTGTAAAACAACACAGCACTGGGCCAAACTAAATGAGAAAAGTGTTGTGTTGAGAACACTGATATAGAGAGTTTTCCTCTGCTCATGTTGATGACAGTGATCTACTTTTCACAGCAGTGTCTGTTCAGTTGCTCATTTCCTCTTTAAATGCAGATCGTCTTGTTCTTTGTTTAATCATCAGTTGTTCATTATGGAGTATTTGTGTTTATAAATGCAGATTGTGATGGTTTTGTTTAATAAAGAACTGTTAAATGTCTTCTGAGTTTTTCGATGTGTTTTTATGAAATTACAGTTTTTCCCAATTGTTTACACACATTTTCTGTAAGCAGGTCTCATATTGTCAGAACTCTACACACAAATCACAAAACACACACACATTGGGCAAAACTCTTCGTTCAAAACAGTGTGATTTCTTCTCAAAATGGTCTTTTGTTTTCAAATGACACACACAAGCCATCACGTCAATAGATAATTATAAGAACAGTTGAACTGATGTGCTTAATGTAAAACACTATGACCACTTCTTCTCCGTTCATCATAATGACTTAGTGTAAGCCTTTTCATGTTCAGTGTTATACTTACTACATAAGCCTACAGAAGTGTTTTTTTACAAAACAAGCAAATATCAAATATATTTTACTGTATTTTTCCCACAAAAACAGTGTACACAGTGTTCGTCCCAACTAACACACAGTTGCACATAATGTGGTCTACATATGCCATCAACAGAAGTATTTACAGAATAGTTACTGTTAAAAAAAAAAAAAAAAACAGCTATAGACCTTTTTCTTGGAACGCAAAATTACCCATTAGGCTTTGCGTGTATGCGCAAGGAGAATGCGAAGAACTTCCGGTCGGCAGCTGATGCGTGTAAACAGTCACATTTGGACAGCGTTGAAACGATAGTTTTAATCTATTTTACCTGCTTTTATCCTCTTTGAACTAATACTGTTGTCCATTAGCACCATCTCCTGGACTGATCATTTAAAGGAATGCGATCTAATAGGATGGAAAACAGCTGTTTTTTTTTTTTTTTTGAGTCCAGCCAAAACCAGCTATGTCCAGCTTAAACCAGGCTGGTTAAGCTGGTTTTAGCTGGATTTGGCTGGTCATTTTCCAGCCTGACCAGCTAAGACCAGGCTGGAAATGGTTGAAACCAGCCTGGAAATGACCAAAACCCCTCTAAAACCAGCCTGGTCAACCAACTAAACCCAGCCAACCAGCCTAGGCTGGTTTAAGCTGGATTTTTCAGCAGGGTGTGTTCCTTGTAAAAACGAGATTTTCTGCATGAAAATTGTGCAAAATGCAGAGAATTGTGTGTAGTGTTTTGAAAAAAGTGTTTTAAATCTGCAATTTGAGTGTAAAGCAGGAATTGTGCTTGTAGTTTAGCAGAATTGGATCAGGGGGTTGGCGCATCAGTTACATGTTGTATATTTTACAGTCTATGGTTGTAGTCATTGTGTCTGAAGTAATTTTGTGTAAACAATTGGAAAAAACTGTAATAAGCAGCTGTTGCGTCTCTTTCCTTTATTTTCTTTATTTCAGGCTGTTGAGGATTGAAGATTCTGAAATGTTTGATTATTTTGATCAGGCCCAGATTGGCTAATCGGGAGGACCGGGAGAATTCCCGGTCCGTTTTTTGGCCGCGAGGGCCGGTGTCCCTAACTCCAGAATATGTTGCTCTCAGCAACACTTTTTAAATTATTGTATTTATTTACTTGACCACATACTTCTTATTCAATATATTACCGCAGCTCTGCTCTGTTTATGCAAGAAACTGCTCACGTAACTGTTGTGGTCGAGTGGTAAGCACGTTAGGTTACAACGCCACCAACCCGGGTTTGATCCTCGTCTGAGTAATTTTTTTTTGTTCATTTTTATTGTTAAGACATATAATACTGTAAGGGTTGTTGAACATTTGAAGTTCTAATGCAGCTGTTTTCTCAAACGTGATAGTGTCATTAGAAACTGAATTGGAAATGACCTTATTTCAATATAGTCAGTCGAGAACTGAGGTGGGCCGGTCTGAGGCTTGAAACTCCAGGGCTGAAAAGGAGTCCCACTCCGGCCCTGATTTTGATAATTACTTTTCCTTGATGTTATTAATATGAATCAGACATGAAATCTACAGTAAATATTGTAATAGAGTCATTTTATTTGCATTTATAGTTAATAATTATAGTATGAGCTGATGCTGAAACATGTTTTATAAATGTATATTCTAATGATTAGATATTGTTAATGATTATATTCCTTTATTAACCATAATAAGAGACTGAATCCTGCTGATGTTGAAGGTGATTTGTCTCAATACCACATGATGCTCATGATCTGATGATTAAACTACACTTTTCAGCAACCATAGTAATAAAGAGAAGAGAATCATTTGGGTGTGTTTATTGCTTTATTATTCAGTCATTTTTCTTTGGCTTTGTCCCCTATTACAGTTTTTCTTGCCAATTCCATGTGTGTTCAATAAGAAAAGGTCAGGAGAGGGTTTTCTTCAATGCCAAAAATATTAGTAATTTATTAGAGACAAATGAATATTGGATGACAGAGTTCTGGGTTACGTTTCCCCAATGCAATACAAGAATTACATTCAAGAGGTTCACAACTAACATACATTTCCTGACTCCAGCATATATACACAGCTGATATTAACAGGTGGAGTTTTGGTGTAACGTCACTTATCAGTCATTCTGCAGTCCTTTGAGTGTTGCACCCATACATACTTCCTCTTTTCTGCAACCCTTCTCTGCATACCAGAACTGAACAATTAAGTGCATCTTCAATATATTTCACTACTTCTCCAAGCATCATGCTCCTTGTGACATGTCTAGACCGCAGTCTGGAGCAAGGGCCCCCGCACTATATTAATTCTTATTCTGCTATTTCCCTTTGGTCAGCAGTTTCTTATAAAAAGTATGCAGCACAGTAAAAAAGAGGAAGTGTTTCTGGTCAGTATATGGTATTATACAAAAGAAAAAAGATTGATTAATCTGTTGTTAGTCTAAAAAATTTTCTAATAAAAAATAGACACATTCATTCATTTTCTTGTCAGCTTAGTCCGTTTTTTTTTTTTTTTTTTTTTTTAGGATATAATACAATTTCTTTTATTTTGGCAGGAATAAAAGTATTTTTTATATTAAAAAAAACTATATAGTTGACGATTACAGAGCAGATTGTACAAATGACAGTATTATGAGACATTTATATATATATATATATATATATATATATATATATATATATATATATATATATATATAGATATATATATATATATATATATAAATATAT